GACCTTTGACCTGATTGTTTCTCAGTGGGTGGTCCATATCTAGTAAAGAATTTGAGTAGCTCTTCTATAATTCTTTTAGCTGTGATGCTAAGTAATGGAATGGCCTCTGGAAATCTAGTAGACACATCCATTATGGTCAACAAATACTGATTCCCACTTTTTGTTTTAGGTAGGGATCCTATGCAATCAATTAAGATCCTTGTAAAAGGTTCCTCAAATGCAGACATGGGTATAAAGAGTGCTGGTTTTATCACTGCCTGAGGTTTTCCAAATACCTGACATGTATGACATGTCCAGCAAAGTTCATCCTTATGTAGTCCAGGTCAATAAAAATGTTTTTGTATTTTGGCTTGAGTTTTCCTTACTCCCAAATGACCACCTAATGGTAATTAGAACAAAGAATAATGCAGCGTGGGAACAGGCCCTTCAGCCCTCCAAGTCTGTGCTGCCCTTCCATACTAAAACTGTCTTCACTTACAGAATCCATATCGTTGTGTTCCCTCCCTATTCATGTATTCATCCAAGTACTTGTTGAATGCTGCTATTCATGTGGTACAACCCACCAGTAATACAGCTTGATGAACTTCTGTCCATTTTTCATCCGTCTGTATGTGTAATGGCCTCCATTTCTTCATCAAAATGTCATTTTCAAGATAATAATATTCTAGGACTCACTTAGATTCTTCTTCTGTGTATGATGTTTGATACAGCTGCTTTAGTATTTCATCTTTCCATAGAAATTTCTGTGAGCTAAAAATATCTACTTTGTCCTCCTATCCGTTCTCGTTTTGTCTCAGTCATTTGATCAAATATAGTCTCAGATAATTGAACTTCAACTTCCTTATCTTTATTCTTTGATTTTTCCTCTTGCTTCAGTCTGTGACTTTGTGACCTTGTTACCACCCAGTCAGGAAAAATCCCAGGATATACTTCCTGTAACACCTCAGTTGCCTGATATTCCACTGGCTTTTCAACCACAGTTGACATCACTCCCATCTGTGATCCAGCTATGTCATTATCAAGGATAAAAGATGTATTTCCGGAACTGAGAATTTCTCTGTTATTTCCATCACTTTTCACCGGGCTCCCTAGCCTTACTTTATATAATGGAGTGCTGTTCTTCTCACCATGAATTCCAGTGCTCCTTCTGAATTACATGGCTCCTCATCTCTCACCATCAGAGATTAACTTGCTCCCATATCTCTTAGAATCTTAACTTCTTTATCTGCTTCTCCTGGCATATGTGAGTAAACCTTACCCTCACAGGTAAATTCTTTAAAGAGATCTGGCATTTTCTTTTCAATCAACTGCTGATTAGGTTGTATATTCTGGTGCAGCATTTTAGCTTCTGCTGTGCTTTCCTTTACCATTTCAACTAAACTCACTGGCTTATCCTGTTTTTCCAACATCTGTCTTCCCAGTGCTTTTTCTAAACCACCAACACTGAGACTTTATGTGGCCTACTTTATTGCAGTGAAAAACAGCTGACCTTTTTTACTTCTCTTTCCCCGTCATGGGTTTCCTTTTTATCCTGTGGTAAACTATCTTTACTATCTTCCCTTACTACCTAAGGATTTCTCTTCCCAATTCCTCACCCCACAATCATCTACTATTTCTACTGCTAATCTTGCAGTCTTATCTCTCTGCTCTTCCACATATGTTCTCACTATTTCAGGAAGTGAATTTTTGGACTCCTTCAAAATAATCATCTCCCTTAGAGGGTCATATATTTGATATACTTTCAATGCTCTTATCCACCTATCAAAATTACTTTGTTTGATCCTTTCAAACTGTACACATGTTTGACCAGGTTCCCTCCTTAGATTCCTGAAACATTGTGTGTAGGGTTCTGGTACGAGCTCATATGCACTTAAGATGGCTTTTGTCAACTCACCAGATACCACCTCTGATAGTAATACAAATACCTCACTAGCTCTACCTACCAACTTTGTTTGGATCAATCCACATGGTCACTGGCCATTTCATTTGTCTAGCTACTCTCTCAAAGGAAATGAAAAAGGCTTCTACATCCTTCTCGTCAAACTTGAGCAGTGCTGGACATATTTAAACACTAAGCCTTTGGCTACGATGGGATTGCTGTCCATTATTGTCCTCATCACTACTATTACTTTTCACCTAAAACTCTGCCCTTTTAAGTCAACTTTGAGTTTCTAGTTCCAATATTTAAAGTTCAAAAACTCATTCACTCTCCCTTTCTTCTCTCTTTTTCTGCCTTTCTTCCGCTGGGGCCTTCCTTTCCTTTTCTTTTTCCTCTGCTTTTAATCACAATTCAAACTGTTTCATTCCCTTCTCATATTCGAGCCGCTTCAATTTCAATTGAATTTTAGCCATTTCCAAAGATTCCGATGGCATTCCTGGCAATTATAAATGCTGTGCGATTGCCACAATTATTTCCCCCTGCCTCGCAGACACAGGCAACTCTAACTCCAGCTTGTTTGCCGATTCTGAAAGCTTTGCCTTGCTCACTTTCTGTAAAACCCCTCAAGTGAGTTCTTCCATCCTCAGAAAACTTAGTGACTGAAAGAGCCATTATTATATATTCATTTGGTTTGGCAGCATTTGGAAAGAGGAACAGAGTTCAAGTTTTAAGTTGATGATGTTTAGCCAGCATCAATTATGTTTCTCCCTGCATTGAATCATTAGAGCTGCTGCGTATTTCCAGCTGCTTCTGCTTTTATTTCAGATCTCCAGTATTTGTTGTGTTTTGCTTTTGTGTGACTATAAAATTATCTGATTATTATCATATTATTGCTTATTGGACCCTATTCTTTGTTATTTGGCTGTTGCCCTTCTTACATTCCAAAATGCACTTCAAAAGTGCTCCATTCGCTCTAAAATTCTTTGGGAGGCAGAGGTCATGAAAGATGCTTTATCATTGTAAAATTTCATTTATTTCTAATGAAATAAAGCACAAAAATAATATATTTAGAAGTAAAAATTAAGCTTTTTCTAAAATTAAATTCAGTATAATATTGTACTCTGAGCATTATTATATGAACTTCTGAATGCCCGGGTCAAAAATCACATGACACCAGGTTATAGTCCAACAGGTTTATTTGAAAACACTAGCCTTTTTAGCTCTGCTCCTTCCTTAGGTGCAATGTGAAAGAGGAGGTACACCAGTATATCATGACAGTGGTGGAGAGAGTGAATATTTGCGGACATCATCACAGTCAAGTTGTTTGCTTTGTCCTGGATGATGTCAAGCTTATTCAGTGTTGTTGGAGCTACACTTAGCCAGAGAAGTGGGGAGTATCCCATCACACTCCTGACTTGTGCTTTGGCTTTGGGAGTCAGGAGATGAGTTACTCACTGCAAGATTTCTAACATCTGATCTATTCTTGTAGCCACAGTATTTATGTGGCTACGCCAGTTCAATTTCTGGTCATTGGTAACGCTTGGTTGCCGATGGTGGGGATTCTGTGATGGATAATGCCATCTTCTTTTGTGCTGGGTATGATTGCAACCAACGGAGAGTTTTCTCCCTGATTTCAATTGACTCTAGTTTGCTGGGCTCCTTGATACCACACTTGGTCAAATGCAACTTTGATGTTAAGGGTAGTTCTCTTATCACCCTTTGGAGGTCAGCTCTTTTGTCCATGTGTGAACCATAGCTATAATGAGGCCGTCTGGCTCTGAGAGAGCCCAAACTGAGCATCAGTCAGCAGGGATTTAGTAAACTCAAGGAGGGTGCTGGCTTTTTGCTACAAACTCTGAACTCTTATTCCACCTCCCATGTGCTTGCTGTAGTTGAATTTGACATAATCCTTATAATCCCATGAATTTGCATTCATTGGAAGTAATTGACTTACATAGTGGTTATTAGATTGCTGTAAGGTATTTTACCATGCTGCATAGGCAAAGAATAGTCTTGGTGATGATAACATAGTGGAGAATTAATTAGGCCATGAAGGAGATTCTTAACTTTTAGGATTCTGTCAGAAGGAAATGATACAAACCAATGTTTATTCTCCCAATAGCAACCCAATAGAGTTGCTCCATAATAGTTGGCAACAAAAATACACAAACATAAAAATATTTTTTGGGGAAGGCCATGGATCACTACGTTATATGTGAAGATGTGGTGGAAGCATCAAGAACCAGAAGTAAGGTCGGAGATAGCGAGGACTGCAGGTGCCAGAAGTCAGAGTCGATAAAATGTGGAGCTGGAGGATCGCAGCAGATCAGACAGCATCAAAGAAGCAGGAAAATCGATGTTCCTGCTCTTCTGATGCTGTCTGACTAAAGGTAAGGTCATTGGCAGAAGGAGTAATGACAATGTGAGGAAAATTTTTTTTACACAGTGGGTAGTTAGAATCTAGAATGCACTGCATGAGAGTTTGATGGAGGCAGATTCAGTTGAGGCACTCAAAAAGAAATTAGTGGTTTTCTGGAAAGGAAGAACGTGAATGGTCCTAGCAAAAGTTGAGGGTGTGGTACTATGTGAATTGCTCAGTCAGGAAGCCAGTACAGAGTCAATGGATCAGAGGATCTGTAACAATTTCTATGATTCTCTGATGGGTAAATTATTACATTTTGACCTCTGACATCTTACACAACAAACCTGAAGTGGAGTTCTGAGCTGTACAGTAGTAATCTGTGATCACAGAAGCTTGGCATTAATAAAGGAAAATCACATGATTACAGACAGTAATACTATTACCAGGTAAAACTGAAAAATTGCCTCAGAGCTATCTGAATCCTCCAGATTGTTTATTATTTTGTACATTACTATCTTCCAGATTCTTCTGTTTTCATTTGACCTGTGATATATTCCACACAAATTTGTTGTGAGCTTCTCAATAGAAGCATCTATTGTTTCATTTGCCCTACTTCCAGAATAAATCTGTATTTTATCTACACTTAGAGCCTCATTATTTTATAAGCTATATTCAAGATGTCATGAAGGTTTCTCACAGTATCTTTTGTGAGCTGTGTAAAAAGAACTAAATTATCTTCTTTATTCATTCTTAAAACAGGTGGTGCTTCCAACATTTATTTTAGAGAAAAGATCATTGCTGGAAATGTATGCAAATTTCATGGCCCATGCAGACATGTTTGTGTCAATCACAGCAGGTATAACACCTGAAGAGCGGATTATCAGCTTTGTGGAATATTACCTGACTGCTTTCCATGAGGGCCGAAAGGGAGCAGTTGCAAAGAAACCTTATAATCCAATAATTGGAGAAACTTTTCATTGCTCTTGGGATGTGCCAAAAACTAATGTAAAATCCAGTAGAGCCAATGGCATTTCAACATTTGGCAAGGATCAGCCCAAACTCGAGCAAGCCTTGGAGTCTAGCAAGGACCCAACAGAATGTTACAAAGTGAGATTTACAGCAGAACAAGTTTCCCATCATCCACCGATTTCTGGTTTTTACTGTGAATGCGAGGAGAGGAAAATTTGTGTGAATGCACATGTGTGGACCAAGAGCAAATTTATGGGCATGTCCATAGGGGTCACCATGGTGGGGGAAGGTAAGAACAGTTTGCAAGTTCATAATTTTTAACATTTCAGGGTGGAATTGTTGGACTCAGTATGTACTCAATGTCGGTATTTTGATTTTCTGACTCAAGCTGTCTGCATGAGTACTGGGATAATTGATTTTAGAATATGTACATTTCCCTTTCTGTTTTTATGATGGATTTTGTGATGTCTGGATTTCTAGTTGGGGGTGATAAGTCATTAGCCTATGTAAATCAATTAATTTAATACATGCTCCGAATGTTTTCCAGCAGCCCAAAAAGGGAAACAGGAGCTGCTGCCTTTTACAACACTGCATGAGGGTCCTGAGGAGCAGAGATGTTCCCCAGTCTTCAAAGGGGCTGTCATCCTTTCCCTGCCACTTGTTCACTTGCTGCTTCCTCCCCAAACCCCAATATCTCACTCCAGCCCCATTACCTCCTGACTGCTGCAGCATATTTTTCCCACCTCTCTCCAAATTCCATTGTCTCTAATTAATTTTATTGCTTGGATGAATCTCTTTCTACACTTTAGTTGAGAAGAGAAAGTGTGCTTTCCGGCACAATCACAGAGATCCAATTTATCTATTAGGTATTTATCCTGCATCCCCCTGCCCCGCTTCTCTGGCTTACGTCAGAACGTTCTGTTGTTGCAGAATCATACAGTTTAGGGAACCAATTTCATCGAATTGTTATTTTACACACCTGACATGGTGAAGACTTTCTCAGTATTCTCAATACTAGTCTACTTTTCAGTGGTGTAAACTGCAATCTCACATGGAAGTCTCAAGAGCGTGATATGGCAGTATCAAGTTCTATGAAGAGATGTCTGCTACTCTGTGTGCATCACATGTGACAAAGTAAATTCAAAACCCTTTATGTAACTTGATGTATGCTCCTAGACTGATGCAGGTGTTGTACAGGAATTTTGAAAGCAATCTGGAGAGGTTTCTACCTTTTTAGCACCTTCTAAATATGCCTGGCAACAAGGTCTACCTCAGAACTTTTCTGCCTGTCTGATAAGTTAATTTCTATTGACTAATCTTTGTCACGGTTAGCTGCAATTACTGACAGTGATTTGTCCTCCTAATTTGCTGCATAATCTTCTTCAGATCTCATGCCAAGATCCTGCTGTTACCACTTAAGGTGTTGTTGTTTCCTCTATAACACCTGGATATAAATAGTCCAGTTCAATCAGAGAGAGTTAACTAAAGTCAACCTAAAACTAAAACTAAAGAAAAGACTGCGTATAGATTTTATTCTACACTATCACAAGCAGTGACGTGATAATGAATAAAAAGGACTACATCGCCAAAGCACAAGCACTGCTCGCCGACGAGAACACATACCGGCCAGTACAAACTGACCCGATATCACGACTAGGCAACAAAATCCTATACACGCTACAAAGACTTAAACAAACAGGACAGATCAACAAAGCAGACTCCTTAAGAATGAAACAACACACCCTGATTCTACGGCCTCCCTAAAGTGCACAAGCCGGAAGTCCCCCTCAGACCCATAGTCTCCCTACCAGGCACTCCATCGCACAAATTAGCCAGAGAACTACAAAGAAGACTCAAGCACCTAGTCAACAAATCACCCCACTCCATCCACTCAGCCCAAGAATTCCTCAACTCCATCAAAGACATAAAGATAGAGGACGAAGAGACCATGATATTGTTTGATGTCACCGCCCTATTCACGTCAATAGACATACCACTAGCAAGGGAAACAATGACAACACTACTTGAACAAGAACACGACCCCAGTGAAACCATCTCCAAGGACAACATGCTTAAACTACTGGACCTATGCCTGACCACCCACTTCACCTTCAACGGCCAAACATACGAGCAAATCAACGGGACACCCATGGGATCGCCTATCTCCAGACTCGTGGCAAAAGCAGTGATGCAAAGACTGGAAAGGACTGCCCTTCCGCAAATCCAACCTAAACTATGGATACGCTATGTAGACGACACCTTTGTCATCATTAAACGGACCAAATTAGAAGAGACACACAAACTCATAAACAACACCCTCACCGGAATAAAATTCACCAGAGAGGAGAAGAACAAACAACTTCCATTCCTGGACATCATGGTAGAGCACAAGACAAATGGGGAACTGCAAACGAAAGTACACCGTAAAGCCAAACACACAGACCAGGTATTGAACTTCAATAGTAACCATCCCAGCACACACAAACGAAGCTGCGTGCGAACGCTATTTAAAAGGGCAACAACACACTGCAGCAACATGGAACTACGCCAAGAGGAGGATGAATATCTCTTCCAAGTGCTCAAGGATAATGGATATCCAAAGAACTGGGTCAGGAGGTGCCTACAGGAACAGCATCAGAAAGATTCTACACGCCCCGACACACTCATCACACTATCCTACATCAGGAACACGTCAGAACTCACCACAAGACTTCTACGACCGCTGGGCATCAGAGTGGCACACAAACCCAAATCAACCCTACGACAAGTGCTCACCCGAACTAAAGACCCACTCCCCACCATGGACAGGACCAGTGTCATCTACAAAATCCGCTGCAGAGACTGCGAGAAACACTACATCGGACAAACAGGAAGGAAACTAACAACAAGAGTACATGAACATCAACTGGCTACAAAAAGACACGACCAATACTCACTCATCTCAATCCACATGGACAAGGAGAACCACGACTTCGACTGGGACAACACCAAGATCCTGGGACAGGCTAGGCAGAGACAAGCACGAGAATTCCTGGAAGCATGGCACTCCACGAAGCAGGCTATTAATAAACACATTGACCTCGACCCCATGTACGTTCCACTACAGAGGAAACCCGGAAGTGAGGCAATCCATCGCAACGGACCCCAGAGTTTAAAAACCAGGCGGGAAAACACACCGACGCTTCATCAGAGGCTGCACTGAGGATGTTACCAAGCACAGTAACGAAATGTCTGCGGAACAACAAAACAGCTTGGCGAGCCAACCAACCTCAACTATCACCAGCATATTGCTAGACATTGAAATCTGATAGCTATTATTTATGCTGGTGCAAGTAAATCCTTGTCTCTTATCAATAAATACAATGTCAGTACATACATGTTGAACAATATTTGGGGCGACACGGTGGCTCAGTGGTTAGCACTGCTGCCTCACAGTGCCAGGGACCTGGGTTCGATTCCACCCTCGGATGAGTGTGTGGTGTTTGCACATTCTCCCCATTTCTGCGTGGGTTTCCTCCGGGTGCTCCGGTTTCCTCCCACAGTCTAAAAATGTGCAGGCTAGGTGGATTGGCCATGGAAAATTGCCCATAGTGTTGAGGGTTATAGATTAGGTGGGTTATAGGGGGATGGGTCTGGGTGGGATGCTCTGAGAGTCGGTGTGGACTTGTTGGGCCGAAGGGCCTGTTTCCACACTGTAGGGATTCTATGATTCTATGAAATCGTATGTACAGCTTATCTGGCATTATTTTTTGCATTTTAGAGTGTGCTGGCATATGTAAAGCAATGAGCTTTTGATACTTTCAATTTATTTTGTTATTGTGAATTTGACTTGTAGATTAGTTCTGGGAGTTTGTTTTTAAGTGTAGTGAAAATATGCCAACATCGACATCAGAGTACAAATTACTCTCGCTGCTCTTTTTGGGATATTTTTCTCCTGTTGCTTACAGGAGGTCACTGTAGTCATCTTTTGCTACCATTTGCGACAGGAAAAATAAAACCCTCTGCTTAAAATCAGGGCTAAAATGCAACATAAACCATGATACTTTCTCCAAGAATGTCTCAATTGACTAAATGTTGACATTGAATCGTAGAGTTGCATTCTCACATTAGTCTTTTTATAAAGCTTAGTGCAAAAAATACTTAAACTATGAAATATATCAGCAAGCATAATAAAATGTTTTACACACTGCAGTTGTGAAGAGTTGCTACACATTACTTCCAGAAATAAATTAATAATTTGGGCTTGAGCTCAACACACTTTACATTGTCTGAATGCAAATTTTCCTTTTTAGCTGATGTTTCTCTACACTTCTTAATAACCTACCAATTACTATATATTCCCTTGCTTTGCTAGCCTTCCCAAAATGCATTTCCTCACACTTCCCCAGTTTAAATGCCAATTGACACATCTGTCTACCAGACTATTCCATTGACAGCTTCTTGCAGTCTGCCGCTTTCTCCTTTATTGTCAACCATATCAGTTTTCTTATTGTCTGCACACTTCTTGATTTTCCGATCAACTTTCAAGTCCAAATTATTGCTATATATATTGCAAAAGGTAAGAAAGCTGGCAATGAGTTATGTCAAACCTGTTGGAAACAACCTTCCAGTCACAAAAAACATCCTTCAACCATTATCCTTTTCCCATCACTCAGCCAATTTTGGATTTATTCTGCCACTTTTCCTTGGATGTCATGAACTTTTAAAAGTCTATCAAAAAGGACCTTTACAACATACCTCGCTAAAACCTTACATGGACTACATCAAATGTGCTACCTCTCTCAACGCTGATTCCAGTCAACTTAGTCAAACTCAAACTTCCCTTAACAAATCTATCCATCTTGGTTAATCCATGCCTTTCTAATGAATAAGGCGTATTGTCCATCAGAAAATTTTTTCCAATGATTTGACCATTGTCATGCTTAGGTTGACAAGTCTCTAACGAATAAGTCTATTCCTTTTCCCCTTTTTAAACAACGTGACAATTATGGCAGTCCTTTGGCATCTCACTTGAAATCAGAAAGGGTTGAAAATAATGGTCAACACTTGTTTTACTTAACATCCTGGGAGGCATTTGAGCTGAATGTGGTAATTTGTCTATCTTAAAAGGTTTATCTGGAGCTTACATTGGAACCAAGTAGTGAGCATCAAGGCTAGATGAAGGACTATCAGATATGTTTCAAGTAAAGGGTATGACAAGGCTGTGTACAATTGCCAAAATTATTCAAACTGCACACCGGAACAGTATTCAAAACATTAGGTATACTTCCATGGGTAAAAATTGGGCACAAGAACATAACAAGCATGTAGACTGACAACACAGCACTGCTTGTAAAATCATGAGGCCTTTCAAAGTATCGTAGATTAAGTAAAATCCAGAACCTTAGAATATGAATTGACTTTGAACATCAAAAAGACAAAAACAATGGTAGTTAGAAAAAAGGCATTAGAAGAAAGTAGATTGCAGGTTGAAATGGATGGTCAGTACTGATAGTACAATCGTACTGTTGATGATATTAGGGCATGGCCAGGAGATGAGAGAAGCTTGTAGGATGGGCAACACTGTAATCATTGGGGAATAAAATTGAAATGACTTGAATTTAGGCATGGTCTGGTTAATCCAATTGAGCAATAAAGCTGCGGAGGACAAGTTTCTGGAGTGTCTTAGGAATGGTTTTCTAGAACGTCATGTTGAAGAGCCGACTAGAGGACAAGCTATTTTGGATTAAATATTATGTAATGAAAAAGCTGATTTAATAATATTATTCTAAAAGAACTTTGAGGGATGAGTGACAACAACATGTTTGAAAGTAAGGTTATTCAATCTGAAGCAAAGATATTCAATTTGAATAAGGGAAATTATGAAAGTATGAAGCAAAAGTTGACTGACCTGGATTGGGAAAATACACTAATAAGCGTAACTTTAGAGAGAGCCATTACATAACCTATAATATGTGAATATTCGTTCAAGATACAAAACCTCAAAAAAAGGCCAATCATCCATAGCTATCAAAGAAAGTTAAGGACTTAGAAGATTCAAAGGGAACGTTTATAGATTAACCAAAAAATGGTATTAAGTCTGAGGATTTGGCAAGCTTTTAGAATGCAGCAAAGGGGCACAAAAACACAGAAATATAGGCCGAAAAATCTTCTACAGATACATAGAAAGAAAACATTAGGCTAAGCCAACCACCCCCCCCCGGGCTATACATTGGTAATCATCTTCCATAATTCCGAAGATTGTGAAATGATTCATGCACATTAATAGCTTGCTAATTTCAGTACACTATTTAAGAAAGGAGCAAATGGAAAAGCAGGGAACTGCAGAGCTCAAATTGGTCCTATTACACAATATCTTTCTAATCATTTGCATCTTCTCACTAACGTTTCTGATTTCTGTCATCGGAACACTTAAGTGATGATAGGTATGGAAAACAATTCTGCCAACCTGGTGTAGTCATAGATTTCCATTCTGTTGACTAAATGAAACAAGTCTGTTGTACCAACATAGAATCTACTGAGATTAACTCTTCTGTTTGGGGTTCAGCCAATGAGAAGCCAATGAAATCTTACTCCTGTCAGCCTTACATCAGTGATAGGGAAATGCTAGAGTGTATCATAAAGGATATGGTAAATGGACACTTGGGTAAAAATGATATCATTGGGCATAGTATATGTCATAGAATGTTAGCCTTTGTTGCAAAGGGATTTGTGTATAGGAGTAATGTAGCCTTGCTTCAATCATATAAGAGCTTGATTCAACCACACTGGATAATGTGTGCGTTTTGGTCTCCTTATCTCAGGAAACACATTATTGCCAGAGAGGAAGTGCAGTGAAAGTTCACACGAGGCATGCTTTTCCATTTGCTCCTTTCTTAAATAGTGAACTGAAATTAGCAAGCTACTAATGTGCATGAATCATTTCACAATCTTTGGAATTATGGAAGATGATTACCAATGGTAGGATTGTCATTTGAAGAAAGATTGGGAAAACTAGACTCTGTAATTTCAAAGAACATTTCAATACTTAAAGGGATAGACAGGATAGATGCAGGTAAGATGTTTTGCTGGTTGGGAGTCTAGAACCAGTGCCAGGAGGAACAATCTAAAAATTAGGGGCATGCCATTTAGGACCAGGGTAAGAAGGGTTTTTTTTTACTCAGAAGGTTGTGAATTTTGGAATTCTCTACCGTAGAAGACCATGGAAACTCAGCTTTTGAGAATAATTAAAGTCAGGGTTGATAAATTTTTGAGTATCAATGTCATAAAGAGTTATTGGGACATTATGGATAAAAGACATTGAAGTGTTCAATCAATCATGATTGTATTACATGGCAGAGCAGGCTGGACGGACTGAATGGCTTACTGCTATTCCTAAGTGGACAGCAGCAGAAACAGGAGTCATCCTGGCCGTAGTTGGATGACAGAAGTTGCAGATATGCTACAGTGGATGTGTAAGGATGACCTAAGACAGACAAATGGTATACCGTGACAGTAGATCCCCTGGCAGGACTGACTGCAAAAGAAACAGCAGCAGCAGAAATTGATAAACTCAGCTACAGCTTATAACAGTGATGTAAAGCAGAGGTGTTATTTTAAAAAGTACAGCCCACATTCAGTAAAATCTGCAGTGTTTTTTCAATCTGTATTTTTTTGTAAAATATGTAGAAAAAAAGTGCAATGCAGGTTAATAAGATGCATAAAATGCTTAATCTGTATAACTTGACTGTTCAGTTTTCTTTCTGGAAAATGACTATCTGTTGTTCACTTGAACAATACGTGCCAAATAACCAAATTATGTAACATTACCGTTTTCAATGGTTCCCATCTTTTCCAGGTGTTCTTTTCCTTGGAGAGCACGATGAGGAGTATGTTTTTACATTGCCAAGTGCCTATGCACGTTCAATATTGACAGTCCCTTGGGTAGAACTAGGGGGTAAAGTCAGTATTAACTGTGCCAAGTCTGGTTACTCTGCTGCTGTCACATTCCATACAAAGCCTTTCTATGGAGGAAAAGTCCACAGGTAATTTACAAATGCTTAGTACATATGAATAGTATTGTGAAATCAATGTTTGGCTGAATTAGAAAAACTCTTTGTAAATCACAAATTCTCTTGCCTGCTGGAATCAGTGTAAACCACAAGGGACAATTGATCATTTCAGATGATTCGGAATTCCTCATAACGCAGTTTCTTCCCCACTTCCAGTAATGTGCAAATTTAAACTTTATAGAGTGGAGTTTGATTTTTGCGTAGTGAATCTAAAACAGGTCACCATAAATCTATCGAAGTTGATAAAAATAAAAATCAAAGAGATGTAAATTGGTCTGCCACGTTGCTTTCGCCATTTTATACCATTTCTTGAAATCTGTCCAACCTGTTTTTAGCCAACTGGCTAAAAAAAATCAGGATGAAGGACTGTGTTTTGTTTTGTCAAGCGTTTTACGGTGCTGGATCACAGTTCCCTGTCTAGTGACTTCTCAATGTCAGCTGAACAGTTTGAGAAACTAAGGTGAAGCAAAAGGGAAGAAGTGACTATGCTGCACAGGTAAGAAATAAAAAAAAAGGTGATGGATCAGGCGAATTAAAATTACTTTGGAATGGGATGGATTGGTTGAAAAAATATAAATACTTTGGCTACTTCAGATTGAGATTAAATACTTTAATTTAAAAACAAAAATGAACCAAATGCTCCAACATTTATTTGCTAATTCCTCCGTGAAGGCAGCCGCCCGCTTGGTGGTGGCAGCCTAACAATTACAAACAGTTTTCCAGCTGAGGTTTTAACAAGTGTCTTATGCAAGTTCTGTAACCACCTTTCTCTTGCCCCTGTTAATAAAACCTAGAATACTGAGTTTCTTTATTTTTGCATGGATGTGAGTGTCCATGGCAAAACCACCATTTTTGCCCATCCTTAATTTCCCTTGAACTGATTGGCTGTCCAGGCCATTTCTGGGCAGTTTAGAGTCAGCCACATTACAGTGGGTCTGGAGTCACTTGTATCAGAGCAGGTAAGGATGTGCAATTTCCTTTTCCAAAAAACAGTAGTGATCCAGATTTTTTTTAATGACAATCGATGGTGGACACTAAACGAACCTTTATATCCAGATTTTATTTTAATTCAATTCAAATTTCACCATCTACCATGCTGGGATATAAGCCCATGTCCCAGAACATTCACTTGGGGCTCTGGATTGCCAGTCCATTGATAATGTTCCTACACCATTGCCTTTCTTACTGTAATTAATAGCTGCTGTCTCTACCTGTCCTGTTAATTATAATGATTTGTGCCTTTATATTCCCAGATCTCTTCTCCTGTAGATACCAAGGCATAGTTCCCATTATGTTACACTGTCTCACCATGTTCTTTCTACCAAATTGAGGCACATCACACCTGTCTGCATTGAACTTCATCTGCCACCCATCTGTCCACTCCACAAAATTGTCAATACGTTTTTGAAGCTCTACGTCGGCCACCTAATAATATACAAAGCTCCAATGATTTGCATTATCCACAAAGTTTGAAATGTACTGTCTATATCAAGTCGAGAATCATAGAATCCCTACAGTGCAGAAAGAGTCTGCACCAACCCTACAAAGAGCATCCCCCTTAACACCACCACACGTAACCCCGCATTTACCATTGGCCAATCCACCTAACCTGTACATCTTTGGATTGTGGGAGGAAATCAGAGCAGCTGGCGGAAATCCAGGTCCCTGGCATTGCGAGGCAGTAGTGCTAACCACTGTGCCACCATGTTAACCTAAAATGTCTAGATTATCAAAATATATTGGGAAAAGCAAGATTCTTGATACCCAGGGGATCTCCACTACAACCTTTCCTCCAGCCCAAACCATGGAATTACAGAAGTGTGAGGACACAAAGAGGCCATTCAGTGCATCAAGTGTATACTAGTCTTTGAGCATTATGATTTAGTGCCGATTTCCTTTTCTCTATATTCTTACACATTGAATGTCCAGTTGAATAAAAACAAAGCCGTCTTAAATGCCTTAATTGAACTTGCCTCTCCCACAGTTATAGGCAGTGTATTCCAGATCCAAACCACTTCTTGTGTGAAAGAAAAATTCTTACCTTGCATTTGCTTCTTTTGCAAAACGCATTAAATCTGCGTTTCTGTTACCTCTTCAAAAAATTCCAGTCAGTTATACGAAATGTACCCTTTAGAAATCTATGCTGGCTCTTCCTAATCAGCCTACCTGTTTTCATGTGATTTACTAACTCTATCCAGAATAATGGTTAGTGTAATCTGTAACCCAGATTTGGAATGTTTTAATTTCTCCTTTATTCTGACTTCACCTGTTTAGTGATTATTTTGTATTTTAGTGCTATTTGTGTCTCCCAGTATTTTGTGCACTGTGGTATTCCTGTCTGATTTTCTGCCCTGGTTCCCTCACACTTAGCTGAAATTTGTCCCAACGGCATTCACCAAATGCCATGGGGAGAAAATCAGTTAGATGCAACCAATCATAGAGTCATACAGATCAACCACATAAATAAGGCCCTCCTGTGCCCTTCAAAAACAACCACCTAATTATTCTAATCCCATTTTTCCAGCAATTGGCCCATAGCCTTGTATATCTTAGCATTGCAAGTAAACATCTAAATACTACTTAATTTTATGAGGATTGATGCAATTACCACACTTACAGGCCGTGGGTTTAGATTCCCGCCACTCTCTGGGTTAAAGATTTTAGCTGTACCTCTTCTAATCCTTCTGCCCTTTAAATCTATACCCTTAGTCATTGATTCTTCCATTAAGGGGAAAAGTTTGTTTCTGTCTACCCAATCGATGTTGCTCATAATTTTATATATCACAGTTATGTATCCTCTCAATCATGCCTGCTCTAAGGAGAACAATTCCAGTCCAGTGTGTCTGGCTATCGCTCAATGGCTCTCTTGCTCGTGCTTGTGCTTTCCCATGCTGTGTCCTGCTCCATAACTGAAACTCTCCAACATAAACTTGGTAAATTGCCTCTGCACCGTCTCCAGTGCAATCACATCCCTACTTTAATGAGGATTCCAGAACTGCACACAATACACCAGCTGTAGCCTAGCTAACATTTTGTATAGCTCCATCATTAACTCTGCTCTTTAACTCTATTTCTTGACTATTTCTAGACATTTAAGTCTAAATCATTTATACAAGCCACAAACAGTGAAGACTGTGTAACAAAATACACATGACACTTGACAATAAATAAACATAGATAAATGTAAGTATATTAAAGGAAAAAGAATAACTAGAGAGAAAATAAGACCCCTCAAGAACCAAAGTGGACATATGTGCTTGGAACCGCAAGGGATGGACGAGGTCCTGAATGAATACTTCTCCTCTGGGTTTACCATGGAGAAAGACGTGAAGACTTGGGAACTTGGGGAAGTTAGTGGTGACATCTTGGGGACAGTCCATATCACAGTAGAGGAGGTGTTGGACAGATTAGAATGTATGAAGGTGAATAAATCTCCTGGTCCTGACCAGATATATCCAAGAATCCTGCAAGAGGCGAGAGAAGAAATTGCAGGGGCTCTGCCTGATCTATTTGCATCATGGTTAGCCACAGGTGAGGTCCTGGAAGACTGGAGGGTAGTGAATGTTGCGCCCTTATTCAAGAAGGGCTCAAAGAAAAACCTGGGAGCTTTGGACTAGTAAGCCTAACATCTGTGGTAGATATGTTAGAAGATTCTGAAGGATACGATATACATGCGTTTGGAAAGACAGGGTTTGATTTGGAGTAATCGACATGGCTTTGTGTGTGGGAGATCATGCCTCACAAATTTGTCAGAGTTCTTTGATGAAGTG